GTACGTAAAGAATTATAGAAGAGAGAAAGAAACAGTAGAGAGAGAGAGCTTGCAATGCCTAGAGAGAGAGACAGAGGGCTTGCAATGTTTAGAGAGAGAAAGGGAGAGAGCGAGCTTGCAATGCCTAGAGAGAGAGCGAGCTTGCAATGCCTAGAGAGAGAGAGAGAGCTTGCAATATTTAGAGAGAGAAAAGGAGTGAGCGCTTGCCATGTTTAGAGAGAGAAAGAAAGAGAGAGAGCTTGCAATGTTTAGAGAGAGAAAGAAAGAGAGAGAGCTTGCAATGTTTAGAGAGAAAAAGGAAGAGAGAAAAGGGGGGAGCGTGATATGAGCTTTAAGAATGATTAGTGTTTATGATGGAGGTTAGGAGTAGATGGACTCAGTATCGAGTCAACGTCTAGCAGACCTTCAGACAATTGCAAAATAATACTGTAATGGTTGCACATTCATATAATCGTTCAATAAAATAATATTGTAATGATTAGATACTGTCGAAAAAAATATATTTTAAGCTCTAAAAATAACGACAAATTATCAAGACCATCAATTTTATTTTTAAAAAAAAATAATGGAAATTATAACAAATTATTAAAACCGTCTATTTCACCTTAAAAAAAGTATTAATGATTTGCAATATATAAATATTTTTTTACGTTCAAATTTTGTTTTCGGATTGAAAATAGATTTTAGAGCCATAGATATTTTATTGCCAAATGTGATATGGCATGAGGCTTTATTTTGTTTTCACGAAGAAGCCTATCTGTTAAAAACACCTTTAGGGACGTGCACTCTTTTCTTCAGAAAAAAAGAGGACTTTATAAAGGAAAAGATAGCAGCCTTTCTTGTCGTTAATTTTAGATACCAAGCCATGAAGTGGAGGTCGTCAATTACTTGGCGCTATCACATGCTTACATTAAGTGGGGCCCTAAGAGATTTGTTTTTTCATTTTCATTTTCATTTATTGTTCAATACACGTCGCTTCAGCCATTGGTAATTGATAGGAAAAAGCTGAGTTTTCTTGTAGCATAATTAACAATGTGACACGTGGATTAGCAATAGACCCGGGACCCAAGGTGCACACCAAATTCGGGTCTGGTACGCGGTATCAAATCTTGGATCCAAATATTATTCAAGTCTGGATCTAAGTCTGCTTAGGTCTGATAATATATTTTTGGGTCTCAATATATGGAAAAAAAAATTGAATATAGTTAAATATTCTAATTTTTGGGTTAGGTCTGGGTTAACCATATCATTTTTTTGACCCGACTCGATATGTTGCCGTACCTAATGTTTCCCTTCTCAATATGGGCAGGAAAAGCTTTTCTATATACCACTAGGTCCAAGAAAATAAATTTATATACGTCACCTCTCTCCCAACATGTGATCTAAATTGATAGTTGAGATGGTAATGACTCGCCTCAATATTGTTTTCTTTTTAAAGAAATGATATTAAGATCAAATTTGGGGCATCCAATCTTCTTTTAAGCTTGCATCTATGAGAAATATAAAAAATTATTTCTTATAAAATGAAATGATCAAAATGCTTTGAAAGTTTCAGGGATAATTTGATCATTTTATTTTTTAAAAAATATTTTTTTTATGTTTTTGGTAGCTCTATTGATATATATATAAACATCTACAAAACGTCTACAGGTGAAGTTCTCCAGAACTTCACTTACACCGCATCATTATTCAAAGTTCATTATACTGTCACAATTGTTCGATAGTATTTGAATTTTTATAATTATTGTACTAATCGGATTTATCTAAAATTTGGGCTGTGTATACATATGACCAAGTCGTACCAAAATAAAATATTAAAAAAATAATAATCATAAAATAAAATGATGAAATTACCCTTGAAATTTTATAAGATTATTTTGTGTAATTTTTATCATTTAAATTATTTTTTTCATATTTTATTCATTCGCATTTCACTAAGGCTCATATACCGACAAAATTTCAGAT